CCCTTCCCTAACCCTCCACTCCAGGCCCCACCTCTCTGTCCCTTCCCTGACCCTCTTCTCTAGGCCCCGCCCCTCTGTCCCTTCCCTGACCCTGCACTCCAGGCCCCGCCCATTTGTCCCTTCCCTGACCCTCCTTTCAAGGGCTCAACCTCTGTCCCTTCACTGATCCTCCTCTCAAGGCTCCGCCCCCTCTTCAGGACCTACCTCTGCCCTGCATCCCTCTCTTCTCTCTCCTCATGGCCCCGCCCCTCCACTCCAGGTCCTCCTGCTCCACTCCAGCACTCTGTCCAGCCTTGGGCCCATGTCTCCCCTTGGCACCTCTGTTTCTTGTGCTCTCTCAGTCCCTCCTCCCGCCGCAGCCCTTGCCCACTCGGGAGCTCTTGGTCTTTACCGCCTTCTCCTGACACAGCCTCAGCCTACTTCTCTGTAACCTCTTCCCAATCTGAAATCAAGGAATTTGCCACCACCCATACGTTTTTAGGGACCCTCAATTTTTACAAAAATATTTAACACTTTAGCTACTTTTGTTACTACTTTTTAACATGCCTTCCACCCCCTCCCCGCGTGCGTCCTATGTGAATCCCTTGGGGAATGAGGGAGATGGAAGGGACTGTTTGGGTATAAAGTGTAGAAACCACCTTTCTTCTTCCAGGATATTTACGGGCTGTCCTCTGTTTTGTTTTAAAAACTCATAAGATTTTTGCATTAAATTACATAATATATTTTTGTTTTGGTATAAAGCATTTTTCTTAATTGTAGAGAAAATAATTGATCTCTAGGATGATGGCCTTGTGGTTTTACTGCAGTGCAGAGAAAACAAGTGGTTATTTTAAAGTAACTTGGGTAAAAGGAGTAGTCAGAAGTGCAGTTATGAATTATTAAGAAGATAATCAGAATGAGAGTGGTGCATCCCCAGTAGCTTTCAGTAGTTAAGAAATAATTAAAGTAAATGAACTATGCATCCATTTCCCCCAAAGTCCCCCAAACAAGCCAGAAAGCAAACTGATCAAACTCTAAAGAAATCAGGAGAAAGATAATAATAAAAGTAAATTAATACATGAGAAAACAAAAAATACTAGCTTTGGAACTTGCAGCTGGTACTTGAGATGGGGCTAGGAGAAGGTAGCAGTAAGAAAAGAAATAGTTAACACAAAAGACAAATGAGGAATACAGCAACATCACTGATTAGAAAGAATAAAATAACATACTTAGGAGATTTAATTCTTGAATGATTTAACTCTTGAAGAATGATGTTGATTACATCTTCGAGTTGTGGATACACAGTTGTTTTAACTCAGTTATTTTTTTGAAAGGAAAATGCTTCTTCTGTGGTTTATGAAATTAGTTCAGTTCCTTGTGGTTTGGGGTTCAAGTCTCTTTTCCTTTCAATAAGAATACTGTGTTCAGTCATGTGTCAGTATATTTCAGTTTTAAGCAAATGATAATTATTTTTGGGAAAGACAAACTGGATTCAAGAAGTTGTTGTTGTTAGGTGCTGTTGAGTTGGTTCCACCTCATAGAGACCCTATGTACAACAGAAGAAACACTGCCCAGTTCTGTGCCATCCTCATAATAATAATTTTGTTATGCTTGAACTCATTGTTGCAGCCACTGTGTCAGTCCATCTCGTTGAGGGTCTTTTCTTTTGCTGACCCTCCACTTTACCAAGCATGATGTCCTTCTCCAGCGACTGGTCCCTCCTTATAACATGTCCAAAGTACATGAGATGAAGTCTCGCCATCCTCACTTCAAAGGAGCATTCTGGCTGTACTTCTTCTAAGACAGATTTGTTCGTTCTTCGGCAGTCTATGGTATATTCAGTAATAGATCAATAGCCACTGAAAGGAACTGAAAAAAGTCATTAACCAATTAATTGGTTGACACTAGAAAGCCCTCCACCCAAATGGTTTAATGGTAATGTTGTTGTTATTGGGTGCTGTCAAGTTGGTTCTGACTCATAGTGACCCCATGTGACAGAGTAGAACTGCCCAATAGGGTTTCCAAGGCTGTAAATCTTTCTTCCACGAAGTAGCTAGTGGGTTTCAACTTCTGTATTTTTGCTGAGCAGCTGAGCACTTAACAACTGCACCACCAGAGCCCCTTTCTCCTGGCCCAGAGAGGGAAAATAGGACTCTGAGAAGTCAAGGCCCACCAGGCCACAAGTGCTAGACGGTAGCTTGTGGCTCTGCCTCCTCAGGGGATACCTCAGTATCCCTCCTCTCCCTTCTTTTCAGTGAATGCTTACCTCAGCTTCCGTTAAATTTTTCCCTTTTGGATCTCAGCCTTATCTTAATCCTACATCCCTTATCATCCAAGTTTTAATGAATCACTTGTCTCAGTAGTGCTTGGCATCTTTTTTTTTTTGCTTCTTAACATTTTTTTTTTTTACCCAACTTTTATTTATTCATTTTGTTGTTGTTGTTGGGCCAGGAGGAAGGCTTGTGGCTCCCTAGTCCTGCCCTGGTTCTGCTAGTTCAGGGAGGCAGGCTGGCAGGATTTTGGTCACTGCCACAGCTTCCTCCTCAGGACCCTGCCCTGGAGCACACGGACCTAGAAATTCAGTAGAAGGGGGCATCACACACTCCAAGAAGGAAATGACAGTGAATTTAATAATTGATAGTGGTTGGGGAGCTTTTAGAAAAGAAATTAAACTCGGATCACACCCAACCTTAGATGAGATTCCAGCTAAAGAATTAAAATTAACTATTTAAACAGATAAAATAATAAGAAAATATAGTTGAATATTTAAATGATTTCAGAAACCCCCATACCCTTTATCAGTCGCTCTCCATTTTCTCCACCACATAAGCTTATATAACACAGCTTAAAAAAACATTGTAGTGAAATATATGATACATATAGGAAATGGCACAAATAATAAGTGAATACCTCAGTTTTCACAAAATGAATGCACTGTGTCCATGTCATGAGTCCCCAGATTAAGAAATAGGTCATGACTAGCTTCTCAGAAGTCCCTCATCCCCCATCCCAGTAACTACTACCCCCCCTCCACCCCACAACAGTAACCATTATTCTGCTTAGATTCATTTTGCCTCTTTTTGACTTTCGTATCAATGGAAGAGATGGATTGACACAGTGGCTGCAACAGTGAGTTCACACATAGCAATGATTGTGAGGATGGCACAAGACCGGGGAACGTTTTGTTCTGTTGTACATAGGGTCGCTATGAGTTAGAACTGACTTGATGACACCTAACAACAACATTCAATGGAATCATATGGAATTTTTTTTTTTTTTTTTTTGAGCCTGGTTTCTTTCACTCCGCAGCAAAATACATCCATATTCTCATTTCTGGGTAGAGTTTCAGCATATGAATTCCACTCTGGCTCTGTATCCTCATCAACACTTGGTATTGTCTGACTGTCATTTTGGCCACCATGGAGGGTGTGTAATGATACCTCTATGGTTTTAATTCATATAGCTCTGATGACTAATGAAGTTTGAAGTTGAAACCCATTTATATGTTTATTGGTCATTTAGTTATCCTCTTGTGCAATACCTATTCTTTTGCACTTTTTGCTCTTGTTTTGTCTGCCTTTTTCTTATTGATTTTTAGGAGTTCTTTATGTATTCTGTTCCTTGTAGGATATATATATTGTAAGTACCTTTCTTCATTTTGTGTGATACATAGTTGTTTTTTTATTTTACATTTTACTTACTTTTATTCTTTGAATCATAATTGTTAGAATCCTAAATGTGCCACATTTATTCTATCAAAAATAATATAATTGGGTTTATGTACATACATTTTTTCCCTGTAAAACAGTGAAAACATAATCTACCTATTTAAACAGTTATTGTTGTTAGTTTCCTTTGAGTTGATCCCAATTCATGGGGACTCCATGTGTGCAGAGTAGAACTCTATAGGTTTTTTTTTTTAATTTTGTTGTTGAGAATATACACAGCAAAACATACATCAATTCAAGAGTTTCTACATATACAATTCAGTGACATTGATTACATTCTTTGAGTTGTGGATACACAGTTGTTTTAACTTATTTATTTATTTTTTTATGTGTGTGTAAACCTTTTCATGAGTTTTTATAGTAGTGGTCTCACAATATTTGTCCTTTTGTAATTGACTTATTTCACTCAGCATAATGCCCTCTAGATTCATCCATGTTGTGAGGTGCTTCACAGATTCACCATTGTTCTTGATCGTTGTGTAGTGCTCCATTGTGTGTATGTACCTTAGTTTGTTTATCCGTTCATCTATTGATGGGCATCTAGGTTGTTTTCATCTTTTTACTATTGTGGACAATGCTGCAGTGAACATGGGTGTGCATATGTCTATTCATGTGATGACTCTTATTTCTTTAGGATTTATTCCCAGGAATGGGATTGCTGGATCATAGGGTATTTCTCTTTCTAGCTTTCTAAGGAAGTGCCATATCGTTTTCCAAAACGGCTGTATCATTTTGCATTCCCATCAGCAGTGCATAAGAGTTCCAGTCTCCTCGCGGCTTCTCCAACACTTGTTATTTTCTGTTTTTTTTTAATTCGTGCCAGTAATGCCGGGATGAGATGGTATCTCATTGTGGTTTTGATTTGCAATAACTCAGTTATTATTTAAAAAGGAAAATACATTCTTCTGTGGTTCATCAAATTGGTTCATTCACTTGTGGTTTGGGGTTCAAGTCTCTTTCCTTTTAATGCTGTATCTGAAATACTTATCTATATCCTGTACCGGTAGACTTCTCCGAACTGAGGATGAAACTGAGGTGACATTTGTGTTGGTGTACGTCCAAATCTCTATGACTGTGTATTGAGGCATTTGTATAAAACAAGCTAACTCTCTTTGCTTCAAATCACCTCCACCTCACTTAACCCTTACCGTGCAGGCCATTTGTAAGTCTTTCTGTGTAATTTCTGCAGGTCCCAAGGACTCTGTATCCTTTCTTCATCTGATACAGCTTTGCCCACCCCCTTCCACACAGCATGTTCTGGAGTACCTGCCTTTGAATGATCAAGCCATAAGGATGCTGTATAAGACAGAGGTTTTGGATGTCTTCAGAAATACCCAGATCTTTGGTCAACATGACCCAAAGGGGCAGAGCCAAGAAACCACCCCCAATAGAAACCCAGGGGCTCATCAAAAGTTGAGTCATTTTCAGTACCTGGCAGTGACCGGACCTCACCAAGCTGTGAGCCAAATCCAGGCGCTGTGCCGACAATGGCTGCAGCCAGAGACCCACACCAAGGAGCAGATGCTGGAGCAGCTGGTGCTGGAGCAGTTCCTGAGCACGCTGCCTGAGGCAGTCCAGATGTGGGTGAGGTGGAAACAGCCCAAAAACAGCCACGAGGCAGGGACTCTCGTGGCAAACTTGATCCAAGCATGTGAGGAGAAAGGTGAGAGAGGGAGAAAGCAACTGCCCACTTCTGTTTATTGAACATCTTCTGTGTGCTTGGTGTGTATTAGGAGTTGAATAAAAACTTGTTAAACAAATGAATGAAAAAATGAACTTTATAATCCAGTCTCATCTACCCAGTGTCATATGAGATGGAAGAAATTTCCACTCAGGAACAAGAATGATTTGTTGAATGAGTGGTGAAATGTTTGACAAAGTCCAAGTCCGTTGCCGTTGAGTTGATTTCGACTCATGCAGATCCTATGTGTTACAGAGTAGAACTCCATAGGGTTTTTTTTTTTTTGGCTGTAATCTTTACAGAAGCAGATTGCAAGGTTGCTATGTGGGTTCAAACTACCAACCTTTAGGTTAGCAGTCAAATACAAATCGTTTGCGCCACCCAGGTATAAAAGAGGGCACAAAATATAGGAGATTTGAGTCCTGGAAGTTCACTCTTTGCCAGAATTGGGCCATTCTCTTGGAAACTCAGGTTCTTAGATTGGAACTCAGAAGGGCATTTCAAGAACGAGAGAAGGAAGCCACTGAATCTTCATGGGTCTTTGAATGATAATAATACTGACTATAAACAAAGCATTGTTAGGATGTACACACACACACATATGGAGCCCTGGTGGCACAGTGGTTAAGCACTTAGTTGCTAACCTAAAGGTCAGCAGTTTGAACCCACCCAGCGGCTCTGCGGGAGAAAGACCTGGCGATCTGCTCCTGCAAAGATTATAGCCTAGAAAACCCTATGGGGCAATTCTACTCTGTCATATGGGGTCGCTGTGAGTCAGAATTGACTTCACAGCACCTAACAATACACACCACACACATAGAAGGCAAGAGAACACTCAGTACAAATCCAAGATCGTAGACTAGAGTTATCTCTGGAGAGAAGGCTGGGGCATGGATAGGTAAGAAGTACATGGGTAGATGCAAGTTATTGGGAATGTTCTAGTTCTTGGGTTGGGTAGTGAATTTGCAGGCATTAATTATATTTAAAAATATATAAACAAATGCACTCAGAATAAATATGAGGGCCTTGCATGTCTCAATGCTGATAGCATATCACAAACTAAGGGTTATGACTAATCCAGTTCTGTGCACATGCATTCCTTCAAAGAATTTAAAAAATGCTAGTTGCGAACATGTTGAGAGTACTTACAATGTACTCTTCAAAGTGTCTTATACATATTAATGCGTTTACTTAATGGCTCTGTGAAATAGCTGTTATCCTTATTTTATCGATGAGGAAATGGAGGCACAAAAAGATTGAGTAACTTGCTCACCGTTTTACAAGTTAGTCCTACGTTTAGTAATCGGCAGAGTCAGAATTCACACGTAGGCGACCAGCTCCAGCATCTGTATTCTCAAATCATGGTGTTACACTGCCTCAGCTGGACACAGGGAGTATTGTCCCAGAGAGGTTGGGAAACTTAGGACTAAAGGCACAGGGTGGAGCTGGAATTCAGGGAGAGAATTTCCCAGGAATGAGAAAGAAACAACAGATTAATGAAACGTGCACTTGGAAAGAGACTACGGGCAAGGAAGGCCTTCAAGGTTCAAGTTTCTGGGAGGGAAGGTGGTGGTTGTCTTCTAGATCAGTGGTGGAAAAGACACAGGATAGGCTCTATAATAAGAACTGTCTTTTTTTCCCGCTTAATGTCTAGTATGTGCTTTAGAAGGTCTGGTGGCACAACGGTTAAGCACTTGGCTGCTAACCGAAAGGTTGGCAGTTTGAACCCACCCAGCAGCTCTGCGGGAGAAAGGCCTGATAATCTGCTCCCAAGAAGATTACAGCCTAAAAAACCCTATGGGGTAGTTCTACTGTGTCACGTGGGGACGCCGTGAGTCAAAAACTGACTCGATGGCACCTAACAACAACAACAACAAGTGTATCCTTTACATATGTAATGTTTGAGGTATTAAAAAAAACAAACAGAAAAACCCTGTTGCCGTTGAGTCGATTCTGACTCATAGAGACTCACTCTATAGGACTGAGTAGAACTGCCCCATAGGGTTTCCAAGAAGTGGCTGGTGGAATCAAACTGTTGACCTTTTGATTAGCAGCTGAACTCTTATACCTCTGAGGTATAGATATTATTGTTCCCATTTTACAGTTGAGGGAAACTGAGGTTCTGTGCTTACTCTTGTGGGGCAGTGAGGCCAGGAACCACTGGTATAGAGGGAACTTCCACTTTATTTGAAGGCAGTGGGCAGTCATTAAAGGGCTCAGAGCTGGGAAATGACCAGGGCTCTTTTGAGACTTGCCATATTGAGCTGAGAAGTGCTAACATCTTTGTCACATCATAGGAAGTCCAGAACCACCACCTCCTGGGGCTGGATGGGGTGGGTGGGGGCCATGGGTGTTGCCAGACAGGACTCAAGTCCGAGGTTACTCCTTTCTCCCTCCTAGTTTTCCCTGATCAGGACTCTGTCCTTGCAGAAAAGGAGGACAGCAAAGAAGAACCGACCTTTGACAGTCTACCGTCTGCTGGATCCCAGGTGAGGCAGGCTTTCCTCTGACTTGGTTCTAAAATATGGGAGCTTACCTTCCTGGTTTATGGACCTTCCCTGTGCAATTAAATCATGTCCCCATTTCCTTTAATTCTTCTTATAACTATCACCCAGCTGAGGCTCTTTCTGTGCCTACCTTGTCTAAAAGCTTCTTCTGACTGTTTGTAGTCTCCTTCCCTGCTTAATTTTTCTCCATATGATATCATTTAACATTTTTTCCTCTTTTCCTGTCTTTTAGATTAATTATTATTATTTTTAGTATTCCACTTTGTCTCCACTCTTGGCTTATTCAAAACAATCGTCATGTGGTTTGCCCTTTCATTATCCCGCTTTTATTTATCAGATTGTGGAAGCAGAAATGTTAAGTCATTGTGTGCCATTGAGTTGATTCTGACTTATGGCGACCCCATTTGACAGAGTAGAACTACCCTACAGGGTTTTCAAGGCTGTAATGTTTACGGAAGCAGATCACCAGGTCTTTCTTTGTGTGTTGTTGTTGTTAGGTGCTGTGGAGTTGGTTCCGACTCATAGTGACACTATGTACAACAGAACAAAAACAGTGCCGGGTCCTCCGCCATCGTCACAATTGTCGCTATGTTTGAGCCCATTGTTGCAGCCACTGTGTCAATCTATCTCGTTGAGGGTCTTCTTCTTTTTTGCTGACCCTCTTCTTCAGAATAATAGTCATATTAACTGTTCTTCCTTGTAGGTGTATGGATATTATCTTATCACTGACAGCACTGTACTTAAGGATAGATCTTGAAATGTTCTTTTTGATGATGAATGTGATGCCATTCCTCTTCAATTTGTCATTTCTGGCAAAGTAGACCAGTACTAGTCCATTTCAACTCACTAATGCCTAAGGTATTGGTCTTTATGCATTTCATTTCATTTTTGACCACTTCCAATTTTCCTAGATTCATACTTCATACATCCCACATTCCAATTATATTAATGGATATTTGCAACTGTTTCTTCTCATTTTGAGTCATGCCGAATCAGCAAAGGAAGGTTCCAAAACCTTTACTCCATCCATGTCATTAAGGTTGACTCTACTTTGAGGAGGCAGCTCTTCCTCAGTAGTTTGAGTGCCATCCGGCTTGAGGGGCTCATCTTCTGACACTGTATCAGACAATGTTCTGCTGCTATTCATAAGGTTTCCACTGGCCAGTCTTTTTTGGAAGTAGACTGCCGGGTCCTTCTTCCTAGTCTGTCTTAGTCTGGAAGCCCCACTGAAACTTGCCCACCATGGATGACCTTGCTGGTATTTGAAATACCCGTGCCTTAACTTCCAGCATCACAGCAACTTTAGTTAATTAATTTGTATTGCTAGAGTATTTTTCTATTGTATGACTGTACCATAGCATATCTATCTCTTTTACTCTAAGAAGATGTTTGGGCTGTTTCCAGGCTTTGGATGTTGTAAACAGTGCTGTTATGAACATACCTGTATGCATCTCCTAATACACATGAGCAAATATACCAAGGAATAGGATTTCTGGGTCCAAAATGGTTTCCTGGTTTACATTCCTTTAGCATTTTGTTAGAGAGCCTGTGGATCCATGTTCTATGTAACACTTGCTATTGTCAGATTTCTTAATTTTTATTAGTTGAGTGGGTATAAAATGGTACCTTGTCATTTTGATTTGCATTTCCCTGTTGGTTAATAAGACTGAATATCTCTTCTTGTTTATCAGCACTTTGTGTTTCTAAATGAGCCACCGAGGCTTAACCTACTCAAACTCCCAAAGCTCATAAAAACCAAAGTCAGAATTTAAACCCAACTCCCCCTGATTCCTGAGGCTGAGGGCTCAGTTTTTAATTGTGTGCATTCTTGCTTGCTTGCTTTATAAAATGGCTTAAAAAGATATGTTCCCCCAACTCAAGTCTGCGGTATTTAGCAGCTGGAACTTTGTTGTAGTTAGTTGTTGTCAAGTCAGTTCCAACTCATGGTGACCCCATATGTGTCAGAGTAGAACTGCTCCATAGGGTTTTCTTGGCTATGATCTTTCTGGAAGCAGATCACCAGGGCTTTCTTCCACAGAGTGGCTGGTGGGTTTGAATCACTAACCTTTAGGTTAACAGTCGAGCACAAACCGCTTGCACCATCTAGTCTCAAAAATGCTCCCACTTCCCACAGATTACAAGACAAGGAAAGGTGCCTTGCTAGGTCCCCGGGACTGAGAGTACCTGGAGGCTCTCTGCCTGTCTGAATTCCTGCTTTGTGTAGAGTCTACTCTTCTGCAGGCTCCTTCCAAACCCCCCTGTGATAATCTGTGGACATTTAGGAGCATTTCTGGTGTTTTAGGAGTTGGTTACCTTCAAGGATGTGGTTGTGGACTTCAGCCCGGAGGAATTAAGCTACCTTAGTGCTGCTCAGAGGAACCTCTACCGGGAAGTGACACTGGAGAATTATCGGAACCTGGTATCCCTAGGTAAGTGGGGCTTCTACGCTCCCCAGTTTCTGCCCACTAGAGCTGGGGTTCTCAACTCTCTTCTGTACTTCTATCAGTAACCATGGTGCACCATGTCGATGTGTCTCAGCCCAGCTTAGAGGCAGTGTTTTAATATCAAAGGACCTTGTCAGAATCACTCTTGTCATAAAATAGCATTTCTTGGGCACTTAATATGTGGCAGGCACTGATCTAAGTGGTTTACAAGTTTGACACAATGATTAAACGCTCAGCTGCTAACCTAAAGCTTGGTGGTTCGAACCCACCGGATACTCCACGGGAGAAAGGCCCGGCGATATGCCCCCATAAAGATTACAGCTTAGAAAACCCAATGGGGCAGTTCTACTCTGTCACATGGGGTTGCCATGAGTCAGAACGGACTTGATGACACCCAACAATAACAACAAACAATCCTTACGCTAGTCCTATGAAGGGTATTATTATTATTATAGCCATTTTACCTATGAGGAAACCAAGGCATAGAAAAGTTAAATTACTTGTGTAAAGCCTCATAGTTACACAGTGGCAGAGCTGGGATTTGAGCCCGGTGGGTCCAACTTGAAAGTCAGCTCCTTTAAATGACGCTCTGCTGCTGTGGAGGCTCTGCTTCACTGGGTCTTGGTGAAACAGTTGTTGTTGTTGTTAGGTGCCATTGAGTTGGTTCCAACTCATAGCAACCCCCTGTACAACAGAACAAACACCACCCGGTCCTGCTCCATCCTCACAATCATTATGCTTCAACCCATCGTTGCAGCCACTGTGTCAGTCCATCTCGTTGAAGGTCTTCCTCTTTTTTTGCTGACCCTCTACTCAGCATAATGTCCTTCTCCAGGGACTGATCCTTCCTGATTACATGTCCAAAGTATGTAAGACGTAGTCTTGCCATCCTTGCTTCTAAGGAGCATCCTGGCGGTACTTCTTCCAAGACAGATTTGTTCACTCTTTTTGGCAGTCCATGGTACATTCAGTATTCTTTGCCAACACCATAATTGGTGCAACAGTAGACTCGCAATAATGTTTATTAAGTGAGTGATGGAACCCTGAAAATCCCAGGAGCCCCAAAGGCTTCTACTGGCCCTGAGGCTCAGAAGTCAAGATTGTCCATCTCTCTTCACACCTGGAGACAGGACTGGTTACCTCTCCCCACCGCTCACTGTTTCTGTTATCAGTGCCAGGATCCTCTTTTCAGTGTCCTCTCTGGGGGCTTGAGGTCTCCTGAGATACAAGAACAAAAATAAAAACACGCCAGCTGGCAGGAACTTTATGCTCTTATCCTTGTGACGTCGAAGGCCTCCATGGGGAAATGGAAGTGCCTCACCTCAAGGGTAACCCACTGCCGTTGAGTTGATTCTGACTCATGGTGACCCCATGTGTTACAGAGTAGAACTCACCTCCATAAGGTTTTCTTGCCTATAATAATTATGGAAGCAGATTGCCAGGCCTTTTTTCCGTGGTGCTGTTGGGTGGGTTCAAACTGCCAACCTTTAGGTTAGAAGTCGAGAGCAAACTGTTTGCACCACCCAGGGAGCTATTCTCAAGGGTTATTGTTGTTGTTGGGTGCTGTGAAATCGATTCCAACTCATAGTGACCCCAAGTGACAGAGCAGAACTGCCCCACAGGGTCTTCTTGGCTGTGACCTTTACAGAAGCAGATCACCAGGCCTGTCTTCTGCAGCTCTGCTGGGTGAGTTTGAACTGCCAACCTTTTGGTTAGCAGCTGAGCACGAACTGCTTGTGCCACCTCTCTTCAAGAGTAACCCAAAACCAAAAAACCATACCTGCTGCGGTCAAGTCGATTCTGACTCATAGCAACCCCACAGGGTTTCCAAGGCTGTAAATCTCTATGGAAGCAGACTGCCACATCTTTCTCCCGTCGAGCCACTGGTAGTTTCAAACCACTGATTTTTGGTTAGCAGTCTACTGCTTTAACCGCTGCGCCACCAGGGCTCCTATCTTCAAGGGTAAGGGTGCAAAATTTTAACCATGACTTTTATAGGTCAGAGGACATTCTATTCCAGCATATATTATACTCTTTTATCAGTTACTGCACTTTATGACTTAAATTAGCAGAAACAGTATCAGGAGAGAGGGGACGAATCAGTTTTCTCTTTTCCACCCTTATGCAGTGACCTATAGCAGCATTACCTGAGAATTTCTCTCTTCTTGTGAGTTCTTGGCTTCTTGTAACACTGAAGGTTTTGGGTTAATAGAGGTCCTGCATATCAGTCAGGACGCGGTCTTCCCAAGAGTACAATGAGTAACTCATTAACCCATTGCCGTCAAGTTGATCCTGACTCGTGGTGGCCCCATATGTTACAGAGTAGAACTGCCCCATAGGGTTTTCTTGGCTGTAATCTTTATGGAAGCAGATCGCCAGGCCTTTCTTCTGCAGTGTCGCTGGGTGGGTTTGAACCACCAACCTTTTGGTTAGCAGCTTAGCACAAACCATTTGTGCCACCCAGGTACCTGGAATGAGTACAGTGGATTATATGGAAGATTATATTAGGTGGTACACAGCATGAAATGATCCTCCCCCCAATTATTGAGAAAGAGACTCCTAATTATCTTATAAACCTTCTGATTATATCAAGTAGAAAGTCTCAGGCTGGTGCCAGCATATCTCTGCATCTTGCTGATCTTCCCTTCTTAGCAAAGAGGGAGCAGACTACAGTCCCTGAGCCATAGATAGGTAACAGAATCTAGCTAGCACCCAATAGCATTGGTTTCTGTTGTCGCTATTGTCACATTACCTTCAGCAAAAACAAACAAACAAACAAAAAAAACGGAAGTGACAGTGGTTTCCATTTATAGGATTAATATAAAGCTTGCACTTAAAATAAATGTATTTAAGTTAAGAAAGAGAGATGATCTACAAGTACAACAGCCTCTCAGTACAACTAGATGGTGCCTGTCTACCACCACTGATTGCTCTGAAAGGGATCACAATAGAGGGTCCTGGACAGAGCTGAAGAAAAATGTAGAACAAAATTCTAACTCACAAAAAAAAAAAAAAAAAAAAAAAAAAAAAAGACCACACTTACTGGTCTAACAGAGACTGGAGAAACCCTGAGAGTATGGCCCATGGACACCTTTTTTAGCTCAGTAATGAAGTCACTCCTGAGCTTCACCCTTCAGCCAAAGATTAGACAGGCCCATAAAACAAAAGGAGACTAAATGGGCACACCAGACCAGGGGCAAGGACTAGAAGGCAGGAGGGGACAGGAAAGCTAATAGGGAACCCAAGGTTGAGAAGGGTAGAGTGTTGACATGTGGGAGTGGCAATCAATGTCACAAAACAATATGTGTATTAACTGTTTAGTGAGAAACTAATTTGCTGTGTAAAACTTCATCTAAAGCACAATAAAAAAAAAAAAGAGAGATGACCTAGAGAAAAACATTAAATAAATAATACCATAAATGACACACAGATAAAGCCAAAATGAGAGAACCATTCATTAGTTTGTCAGTGAATTCACAACATGCCAGGTACTGGTATAAGCACTGGGGTTACAAAATAGACGAGAATTCCCTTTCTTGTAGATGCTACATTTTAGTGGGGAGAGATAGACACTAAACAAGTAAATGGTAAGATGGTTGAAATGATTGAAGTTTGGGAAACAGTAAACTAAGGGGGGGAGCATTTTAAGTGAAAGGAGGAGTAGAAGTTATCACAAATGGAAAAAGAACTCTCATGCTGTCCAGTTTCTGAGCAACAACATCAGATTCTCCATGCTCAGGTCTAGAGCCCAGTATACTACTCTCAAGCCCTGTTTCCCTTTTTACCCAATAGCAGAATTCTCTCAATCCGGGCACTAGTGACCCTGGGGCCGGACGATTCTTTGTGGCAGGGGCCTTCCTGTGTGCTGTAGGTTGTTTAGCAGGATACATGATCTCCACCCACAAGATGCCAGTAGCACCCCCTTCCCAAGTAGTGACAACCAAGAATGTCTCCAGACACTCCCAGATGTGCCCGGGGGGACAAATCGTTGAGAACCACTGCTCTATGGGCTCAGAAACAGTCTTCATTTCACTCCCGTGTGAGTGAGTTTGCACCTTCCGTATTATCCCAAAGTCTTGAGAACCCAGGGTTGAGAGTCACTTGTTACGAGTCTTCCTTCTCCAACAGGGTCTCAGTTCACCAAGCCAGACCTTATCTCACAGCTAGAGGCAGAGGAGTCGTGTGGGATGGAGGAAGACAGCAATGCAGTGGCATTTCAAGGTGAGTCATGAGGGGTGCCGGGAGCTGTTGGTCTGGGAGCCTTCCTCAGAGCCCACCCAGGTCAGGGAGAAGGCTGAAAGAGGCTCTTACCTCAAGTGCTCATGTGGTCGCTCTCCTCAGTACTTCCTTCCATCTCCTTTCCAGAGCTTGTGTCTTACTGCAGCAAGAGCACCTCTCCTGCCCAGCTCCATGTCGGCCTTGCCCTGGCCAGTGTCCCCTTTCTCTGGTGTTCTAGCTCCTCCATTCGTTCATACTTTCCTCTTATAGTGAGACATCCATAGGCCTTTCCTCTAGCTGAGACAATCAAAGGCAAGTGACGCGATACCACTTCTCTTTCCAGCTGCCTCCCGTTTTCCCTCATGCCAACTCCACTTCCCATTTCCGTCTTAAACCCTGCCATCTGATTTCCATCCCACATCCTCTGCCAACACACACACCTACACATGCTGCTCTAAAATGTTCTTCAAGATCCCCACCAGCATCCTTATGGCTCATGGTTAAGAACCTTCTAGACTTTAGCTTCTCCAAACTACGTGGCTACAATCTGATGATGTTCACCGTTCCTCATAAATCAGCCTGTTCTTTGAATTGGGACACTATGTGTGGCAGCTGGGATAGCCGTTGTCCTTCAGTTGTAGTTAACAGAAAGCGCTTACCCAAACTGGCTTAAGCCATTGAGGGGCTATTAGCTTACAATATGTACCCTAAATACCATACAGTACAGGTCAGCGGGGCTTCGGGGGTGGTTGGAGTTACGGGCTTAATAATGTCCTTATGGGCCTAGTTCCATATTTTCTTTCCACTCTGCCTTCAACTCTGCCAACAAATCCTAGATGATGTGTATGCTCTCTTGTTCCTGTCCAAAGAGAGAGTGAATGAGCATGAGAAAGAGCAGGTACATCCTAGAAGCTCGCTTCTTTCCAGAAGCCCTTGACACACTCTCTATTTTCCATTCTTCCACATTGGGTCACATCCCATCCCTGAACCAGCCACGGTGTCCAGAGGACAGTCTAGTGCTAATTGACCCACTCCCCGCCCCACCCCTCTGCCTCCCACCCCACTTCTCTGCCTGGGAGCCAAGGATAGAATAGAGTCAGCTTCCCCTGTGTGGGTGAAGAACTAGATGCCCAAAGAGAATTCAGCGAGTTACCAAAGTAACAAAGAGCCCTGGTGGTGCAACAGTTAAGTGCTCCGCTGCTAACCAAAAGGTTGGTAGTTGGAACCCACCCAGTGACTCCTTGGAAGAAAGGCCTGGTGATCTGCCCCTGTAAAGACTGCTGTCTAGGAAACCCTGTGGGGCAGTTCTACTCTGTCACATGGGGTTGCCATGAGTCAGAATCGGCTTGACAGCACCCAGCAACAACAAAAACAGTGATCTACCAAGCATGATTTGGAAAATGCCGACAAGCCCCAGTCCTAGCTCTTTCTCTGGTTTCCTTCTAATTCTCCTCTCCATATTCCCCTGGCATCTTTATCAACAGTCAGCCCTCCTGAAGGGTCTTTTTTCTGCCTCTGCCACCCGTCCTTGTTTATATCCTTTCCATCCCTTTCCCATTCTCTCCTTAATACCAGCCAGTTGCCGTCCAGTCTACCCCAACTCATGGCGACCCCGTGTGTGTCAGAATAGAACTGTGCTCCATAGGATTTTCAGTGGCTGATTTTTCGGAAGTAGATCGCTAGGCCTTTCTTCCGAGGCACTTCTGGATGGACTCGAACCCCAGCCTTCCAATTAGCAACCAAGTGTGTTAACTGTTTGCACCACCCAGGGACCCCATTCTCTCCAGAAAACCCTCAATCCTGCATATGCTCTAGTTCCCTTATCTTTGGTCTTTCTCATCAGTTTCTACTATAATGGGCTTCCCCCAGACCCCCCACTACTTCTGCTATAATGGTGTGTCTCTAAGTAAAAAAGAGTAGAGGAACTTTCAAATTTCTTTTAGATTGGGAGACGAGCCCTGAAACCAAAGAGCGAAGTCCAGAGCACAGCCTTCCTGTGGAAAAACTGCCCCCGGGGGCAGGAGCGGAGGAGCCAGCAATGGGTGACTGCGCAGGAGAGTCCTCTGATGCGCAGTCAGAATGGCAGCACGATAGCCGGGAGGAGCCCCTGAGTCCCGTGCCACCCAGCGAACCCCAGTCCCTCACTCAGGGGAGAAGCCACAGTCCAGGCTCGGATCTCACTCAGCAACCAGAAGTTCCTCCAGAAGAGGCTTCCGAGGAAGGTGCTGCTCTGGGTATCTGCACCAGCCCCCTGCCAGCGCGCGAGGCGCCTTTCCTCCGAAAGGACAGGCTCAACAAATGCGGATTGGACAAAAGAATCTTTCGTGCCCAGCAGGACCCTAAGAGGCACAAGCGAAACCATGTTGGGAAGAAACCCTTTGAAGGTGAGCCATGTGGAGAAGCCTTCCACCTCACCACGCCGCATCTCTCCAGACACCAGACCACCCATTCTGGGCAGAAGTCCCCTGGCTGCAGCAAAGGCAGGCAACGTGCCCACCCCTGCAGACCCGTGGGAACCCACAGCCAGGAGGACTGCTACAAGTGTCTCCAGTGTGGCAGAACTTTTATCCAGGACGTGCACCTCTTTCAACACCTCCAAGCCCACAAAGCAGCAAAAGCCCTTCCCCCTGGGCTGCCCCGCACCAAGACGTACTCAATCCGCTACCTGCGAAGGCACAGCTGCATCGGGGAGAGAGACTGCCAGTGTTGCGACTGTGGCAAGGCCTTTGGACGGCTCTCCCATCTCATCCAGCACTACCGCATTCACGCCCAGGAGAGGCCCTTCCAGTGCCAGCTCTGTGGGCGATGCTTCAGCCGGCCCTCGTACCTCACTCAGCACTACCAACTCCATTCTCAGGAGAGACCGCCGCCTTTGATTACTGTTGAAAAATCTGCAGCCAGAGGACATACTTTCCTCAACATCTTTGGCTTCATACCAGAGAGACACCCTGTGAGTGCTTGGAATGTGAGAAGGCCTTCCACCAAGCCTTCCAACACCATTGCCATGGAGTCAATTCCAACTCATAGCGACACTAAAGGACAGAGTCGAACTGCCCCATAGGGTTTCCAAGGCTGTAATCTTTACAGAAGCAGACTGCCACATCTTTCTCCCTTGGAGCAGCTGATGAGTTTGAACCGCCAACCTTTTAGTTAGCAGCTGAACACTTAACCACTGCACCACCCAGCTCCTTTCACCAAGCCTCACACCTTCTTAAATATTAAAAAATCCACCATGGTGTGGTCAGAAAGCAGCGAATGGTTGCAAGACTGTTGGACAGAGTAGATTTCCAAGAGTAGATTTAGCACGTCTCAGCATTCACGTGAAAACAAAGAGTATTTTTGCTGCATCAAAAAGTACCGTAGACTTTATCCTTCTTCATTGAATGAAAAACGTTGATTTTGACACCACAAAGAAAAGTTTATGACCAACAATGGAGCTCCAGACCAATGTGTGACTGTTCATAGACCAGTTTGCATACAGTCTCTTCGCCATATAGCATGTGTCCGCATGATGGATGGTGAAGAGATTTTCAAGGTGTACCTAGATCGCGTCTTATTTGATCCTTCAACGAACGCAGTGATGTGCCCAGCGCAGGTATTTATTCTATTTCACAGATAAGCAGACTTGAAACTCAAAGGGGCCAGTTGATTTGACCACGGTTGTAAGTGACAGAGCAGGAACCAGGACCTAGGTTTTTTTATTTCTGCCATAAGCCTCTCTGAAGAAAAGGTACAGTCCTATACTGACTGCACCCGCCTTACTCTTTAGTAATTCTGGCCTTGTTTAATGTTAAATCAGACGGGGAGACTTGTAGCATCCGGGGGTGCAGAAAGGTTTCTTAGGGTGAAGTTCTGATAGTCATTTCTCTGGTGATTTAGGATTGTTGTGTGCTCAATTCTGACTCATAGAGGCCCCATGTAACAGAGTAGAACTGCCCCGTAGGGTTTTCTTGGCTGTAATGTTTATGAGAACAGATCACCAGGTCTTTCTTCCACGGAGCTGCTGGGTGAGTTCAAACCACCAACCTTCCAGTTAGCAGCCGACTGCTTAACCATTGCACCCCAGGGCTCTCCTGGCACCAAACCGAAGTTTCTCTTTGTCGTCCTCACTAGGATTAAGAGAACTGCAGTGTAACCACTATCACATGCCATAAATAGAGCGCACTCATGACATTTTCTCTAGTACACATTCAGACACAGGGATAACCATTAAAATAAGAATCATCCCGCACCTAGACACCTATAACCCTGTGCTGGGAAATACGGTCTTGGATTATTGCAGTAAATGCTCTTCCCCAGGTCTCTTCCTGTCACCTTCTCCACAGGGTTCCAGAGCAACTCTTACAAAATACAGCTCTCTGTGTGCTTGTCTCGAAATCCTCTGGCCATTTCCCAGCACTCTGTGAGGTCAAAGTCATTCTCCTGACCCCCACATGACCTATCAGCCCTGATTGTACTGTGCTACACACTGGCTGGTTCCTCTTGGCTGGAAGACCAGTTGGTCCGGAAAGCCACCTTTTCTCCTGTACTCCCAGGCCCTTAGTCTCTATCTCTGAGTCTCCTCACCACATTGAGAGATTTGTTAAAACTCGTCTTCCTCTAGTGAACACTACTCTCTGCCCCACAGTCTGAGACAGGGTTCCTCACTCCCAGCACTGTCAACGTTTTGGACTGGATCATTCTGTGGTGTGGCGGCCGTCCTGAGCAGTGCAGGGTGTTGAGCAGCATCCCTGGCTTCCATATATGAGGGCCAGTCGCACCTCCTCCCAGTTGCCACAACCAAAAATCTCCAGATGTTGCCAAATGTTACCTGAGGGGCAATATCGCCCCTGGTTGAAATCCATTGATCTAAGAGCTCCGATGGGCCCCGATCCTGCTCATCTGTCTCCAGCACTTGGCATGTAGTCTGTGTTCACAGATCCTACCTAAGGTAACACCTGAGTTTTGGCTGTGGTCCTAGAAGCACCCTGACCTGGGGTCCTGGTGTGTCCCTGCTATCTGTCCAGAAGCCATTATGGGACGCCTATGAGTGAAACCTGTGAGAGCCAGAGCTCGACGGGACTGCCTCGTTTTTGTGGGTTGCACATGTTTTCTGCCTTTGACAGGGTGCACTTACTACTTTTCTATCGCTGTCATTTTAATTTTGAGTTTTCTTTCTTTGACAGGTTTCTGGCTTTCACTGGTTTCACTGTACTGTTCTTTTTCTCCTTTTTAAATTTTGAAAATTTACAAAGATGCTCAGTCATCAAGAGAATAGTACAACAAACCCTTCTCCTCTACCTGTCTACCCAGATGAAATAATTTTCCAGATTTCACCAAGTTTACCTCATTTGTCCCTTCATTTTTATTTTGCTCACGAGTTTTCCAGTGTGTCACTTCACCTCTATATAACTCAGTATGCTTCTTTGAAAAATGTGGGCATTTTTCCCCCCGATTAATCACAGGGTTACTGTCTTACTTCAGAAAATAATTCCTGGGTGCCATTTAGTACCCAGACCATAATTAGAATTCCCAGCTTGTCTCCAAGATACCTTTTTACATTTGGTTTGTTTGAATTTGTATCCAAATAGGCTACACAGATTGTGTTTGGCTGTTTGTCTCTTCAGTCTCTCAATCTAAAACAATCCCTTCTCACTTCTTTTTAAATGTCTTGTATGACCACAAGGAATGTAGAGATATGCTTCTCTCATTTCCCCACCGAGTTCCTACTATATCTAACATTTTTGGCACTGCTCTTACATTCAGGTTTAACTTTTTTTAAATTTAGAAACACTCATTTTTAAACTTTGTATGATTATATAAGTAATACTGCAAGAAATTAGGTCAGTTGTCCTGTAGAATGTCCCACATTTTAAATGTGTCTGTCTGCTTCCGCGTGGTGTCCTTACTCTTGTTTTTCTCTCCCCTGTGTTTCCTGTAAGTGGAAGTTAACTCTAAACTCTGGAGGCTAAATCAGATTCAGCTTCAACTTCCTCAGCATAAACACACATCTAGGTGGCTCTGTGTACATCACATCTTATCCCACTAGGGTGCACTGTGTCTGGTTTTCCCCGAGGCCCAGGCGTTTAAAGTCATGCTCGACTTCAAAGTCATGCCTGCCCATCACAGACAGTACGGTTTCCATGTTTTCCTAATTTCTGGATATTCTTCCAGGGCCATCTGCTTTCATTTGTTCTTCATTACCTTTTCTAGATTTTTCTCTACATGGCTTCCCTCCACCACCCCAGCCTGGTCTTCAGACATTTGAGTTGAGGGATAGCAGATACTTCTTGGAGGAGCCCCAGTGGCAGAATGGTTAAGCACTTGGCTGCTAACCAAAGTTGGTGGTTTGAACCCACCAGCCACTCTGTGGGAGAAAGATGTGGCAGTCTGCTTCCATAAAGAATTCAGCCTTGGAAATCCTATGGGACAGTTCTGCTCTGTCCTGTAGGGTTGCTATGAGTCAGAACCGACTTGATGGCAATGGGCTTTAACAGGATACTTCTTGAGGGGTCTG